GGGAGAGAAAAAGATAGACACGTGTGGGATTTTAGAGAGAGAAAGAAATTTTATTATGTGCATGATTTAGTAATTGCCGTGTGAGATTTAGCATTTCAGTTTTGTATATAACCCTATTTTTTAATTAATTAATGTTACCAATAATCTAGAGATTAACCAAACTTTGGTGTTTGCAAAAGCTTTTGGAAATAGATTATAAGATTTGTCCTCATATAATCTGTTTTTAAGTGTTTGCAAAATAAGTTTTTCTTAAAATAAGCTGTTTTAAACTATAATTTTACAAGCACCTATATACATGTTCTTTCTATTTTACTTGATTTACCAGCTAATTTGCAAACACCCCCAACTTTTAAAATTAAGTGTTTAATTCCAACTTAACTCATAATCACTAACTTCTACTTTTAAATAAGTTTTTGCAAACACCACTTTAATTGAACTCATGACAAACGTGCATACATCTTTAGATGAAAATTTTGCTATTTTAGGAAAGTTTTAGAAAATACATATCAATTATTGGAAATATCAGATATGGATTCCGTCAGTTGCGGTGTTTCTATAAATGGGAGACTATTATAATTATGTTTTAACTCATTTTCTATTTTTTCAGCAAAATGATCGTTTTTCCAAGTTTATTAATGGTTTTTGAATTTGAATAGCATGTTACGATCCCCATCACAAACAAAACAGACCGACGAAAAGGAACTCACGAGCTTTGCTCATGAATCACGTCATGTTGAACAATTTAATTCAAATGTATTTTTAACAATTAATTTATTAAATGGAAGATGTTTATTAATAGCTAGCTATAAAACAGTTTAAGCGAGGTTGAACTATTATTTGTAGAAACCAAGGTTGTAAAAAGTGAGAATCGGACCAGAGTTAGTTAGGCACCGTTCACGATTAATCGGTGATAAATCAGAAATAAATCAAATTTAATTAAAAACATAAAATAAGAGATAAGGTGGTTTTGATAATAAAATAACATGGAGTGCCTTTTTAGCAAACTCGATATAACATAGGGGTACTAATTGCAATAAACTCTCTTCATTATCCAAAAAATAAAATAATAATAATAATAACAATAAAGAAAAGAAAAGGCGAGTTCTTCAGTGATCTCTGTTACTTCATCAAAAAATTAGCTCCGAAAGTGTTGGAAGATCACACATCTTCGTCTTCTTTAATGGATGTACTCAAGCTTTCTTCAGCTTTTCCTCTCGCAGCCAAAATCGCAGCTGTCCCCAAACAGGCCCTTACTTTCTCCCCATTTCCCAAGACCAGAGCTCCCATCTTCCCGTTGTTCCTAACCCTCAACGCTGAAATGAAATCAGGAATTCACACAACAGCGACCCGTCAAAACGACGCCGCATTCAGCGAGGCGGCGTACGAGGCCGAGCGGCTGAGCCTGGACGCCGCCGCACGAGAGACAATGGCCGAGAAATCCGCAATCGAAGCGGAGGATTCGGACGACCCGAAGGCGTGGAAATGGGTCATCAGAAAACGGGTCTGGGACTTGATGGAGGCCCGGAACATAGCCCAGTTCCCCAGACCCGTTCACCATCGGATCCCTAATTTCATCGCCGCTGATTTGGCTGCGAATAAAGTAACCAAATACTGTATTTTTTTTTTTTTGTTTTGTTTGGATGATTGTTATCTAATGAGAAGAAGGGGCAATGGCAGTTAAGTAATTTGGAGGTGTTTAAGGAGGCTAATTGCGTCAAAGTGAATCCAGACACACCCCAAAAGCAAGTCAGATTCCTCACACTTAATGGTTAGTATATAGAAGAAAGAAGCTGCTATTTTTCAGATTAATTAATGGGATTTTTTTTATGGATTAAGGACTCTATTCAGTTGTCGGGATTATAATCGAATTTGGTTTTTTTCGGTAATTGTGGTATATATATTTATTGTTCGTGAAGGTGGAAAAAAGCTTCTAACTCCACAGCCTCGTTTGAGAACGGGATTCTTTTCTGTGCTCGAGTACTCGACGTTAAATCCTAGTACGATTAAGGAGGCATGTACTTCCGTTGGAGTTGCGAAATACGGCAAGCCAATAGGCCTCGATGAGAAGATCAAAGTTGACCTCATTGTCATCGGTTCCGTTGCCGTTGACCCTAAGACGGGTGCAAGACTTGGCAAGGGTGAGGTATATTTTATTTTTCGTCTTGTATATAAGTTTGTGTTTGGAGAAAATTTCAAGATTTGATGGTGAAAGAATGGTTTAAATATCTCGATAAGTTTGTCTAGGATGGCTTTTCCTATTCGAATATAAGATCAATGTCGAGCGTTTTGGAACTTGTGGTCTTGTTCTATATGAAAGCAAACCATTGACTTTGTTTTGGAGATGCTTTGCTGTTTGCTCTGAGAATTACTGTTTCGCCATTGCGTTTTTCTTTTTTGCGATTTTACGATCAAGATTATTACCGGTGCAGGGATTTGCAGAACTCGAATACGGCATGCTACGTTACATGGGTGCTATAGATGACTCAACACCAATTGTCACATCCGGTAAATTTCATGACTATAATTTCAATAATAGATTGTTTTCAAATCCATGCATGATAACGAAACTGAATTATTGTCGATTAATTTATTTTTAAATTTTTTCTTAATTTAATTTGTGTTGTCATTATACATTTTTTCAGTTCACGACGAACAATTGGTAGATGATATTCCGATCGAGAAATTGTTGATTCATGACGTTCCTGTGGACATAATATGCACTCCGACTCGAGTTATCTTTACCAACACCACAATACCGAAACCTCAAGGTTAGTTCCGTCATTTCTCTCCATTAATAATACTCTTTTCGCATAGTCCAAAACAACTACATGAAAAATTTTATATACATTTTTTTTTGTTAATATGTTACATGCAGGAATATACTGGGATAAACTATCACCAGAAAAGCTCGGTCAAATTAAAATATTAAGACAGCTGAAAAGTAAAATCGAACGAGAAACCGGGCAGAAGCTTCCCTCCGGACCCTCCGAGAAGTTACCACCTACAGCTCGAAGGGGAAAACGCTGATACATTTTCGTGATTTTTCGTACAAAATACAAGAAATTTTACAAATTTCCAAATTTCAAGTATATTCTAGGAGCATCTGTAGAATTTAATATTATACATATTGTTATTAGATTTCTTATTTTAGATATATATAAAAGAAACTAACGAGCGAGGTGAGAAACGAATTTAACATGCGAGTTCGTTTGTACAAACTAAAGAATACAAGTCAGAGTAGGTGAATTCATTCATACATTGGATGTACCAACTAAACTCACTTGGCCTAGATATTTACCAACTCGTGAGAAAAATCTCGAATTTCTGAAGCAAGAAAGTTACGAACAAGAATCCAGTTAAGTACTAAATTCAAATTAAACATTTTCTTGCTATATTATATTATAATTCTACCCTGAGGAATCCGGTCATTCAGACGAGTAAAACTCTCTACTGGAGAAATCACCTGAGGCATTGACATACCCACCGAAACAATTATCTCTGCAATAAAACGGAAAATGCAATCAGTGTAAAACGGAATATATATGTTAGCAAAGATTGTTATGAATTTGCCATTGCAAAAGACTTACCTATGCCTTCTCGAATAGACAAATTTGGTCGGATAATTTCTTTAGAGTTGACCAGAAATATGTCCCCGATGTATAAATGATTCGTTGGCACATAAACAGAGCATAGCTCTTCGTCACCATCATCCTTCTGAAAATCATAGAAGATATACAAATCAATATTAAAAAAAGAAAATAAAATAAAATAAGAGCAATCTTCAATTTGTGTTTCCATAATCTCATAAAAGGGCACCTGAAGAACAACAGATGATGTAATAAAGCCGATAGCATATTCTCCAATACGAGGATGACGTATAATAGCAACCTCCTTGAAAGCAGTTGTATTCTGGTCTGGGATCAAAGTAAATAATTTTCGTCAAAACTCAAAAATACAGGACGAAAATGCCAGGGGAAATTCAATCTAAGAAAGAGAAAACAGGAAAACAATTTGCTATACACAAGGATACAATTCTCAAGCCACAATACATACTGAACAGAATATTCAAGGTCAAGCTCGATACATACTATTGGAATCTTTTCACGAGATAAAAACGAATAAAAAAAAAAAAAAAAAAAAGATACCTCTACCAGCCTTAACTTGCCTTCATAAAAATAATATAAACATCAAATTTAACTTCAACACACGCGCGCGCACACACACACACACACAGACTACAAGAGTTACCTGGAGATATTGCAGAACTAATTTGCTTGGATGCCGAGTATATATGTTTAACAAAGGGCATCCGCTTTATAAACCATTCTCCTATCAAGAAAACCGTAGCACCCATCCATGATGAAGCAAATATACCAACAAAGAAAATAAAGATCAGCGATGTAATAAATCCTAGGCCTGCACGAGAAATGAAGAGATAATTAGATCCAAAATCAATGGGCCCACAAATTCTGAAAAAAAATGACGGCGGTAATAAAGTGGGACAAGAGAATAAACAATCCAACATGCATACTATAAGAGTTTTGACAGAAACGAGTTCAAGCAGTAGTGCCCTAAGTATTTGTTTCAGTTAACCTGGTAACTGTACTAAATGCTTCTATAGACACAAATATCACGATTTGTTGGCATACCAAATATGTCGATCCCAAGTCTTTCATATATAGGACTGAAGAAACCATCAACAAACTGAATAAACCACCAAGTGATGAAGAATGTAACAGCAACTGGAAATAGAACCACACTGCAATTTAAACAAATCAGCCAAAAAAATTGATCAATTGGAAAAGTAAAAAAAAAGGGAGGCAGATAAATTTATGATATTTTAAAACCAAACTCATTACCATCCAGTCATGAACTTCTTCGAAAACCAACTCTGGAGAACAGCATAGCAAGCCTGACGAAGAACACATGTTAGAGCCAATTGACTATAAGATGATACCATCTCTAGTATTTTACAACAAGACAGAAATAAAAAGGAGTAAAAAACGCTTTTGTAATGGAGCTACAAACTTCCTAAGTTATATTTTGTATTACGGGTTTGCCATAAGCAAATCTAGCTCAATTACTTACAGGAGATACGATATACCATGGAATTATATCTCATACGAATAAGTTTCAAAATTTAACAGCTGAGTAGCAACTCGTACCATCAAGAACTTCTTATATCTAGATCTATATATGGTTTTCATGTGCGACGCATCATATGGAATCAATCCAGATTCTTTCAAAATAAATATGCAAGTTTCTTTTTTTCTCTAGCGTATTTTCCGCACTGCAGCTGATTATTTGTCTCCATGAGTTTTAGAAACTTGCATCCAGAAAATCACTAGAACACAAAATAAAAATGCTCTCGCTCGGATACTATTCATGCAAATTATGTTGAGTTAGTGAATTCCTTTGTTATGACTCCCTTTCAGGATTCAAAGGGTATGCCAATACACTGATTTCAATTCGTCAGAAAAATGAAGGATGGCGAAATTCAATAGTTTAGAGACAAAGTCAAATTCGCTGCAATGTACTTTGAAAACCAGAAAAGAATTTTCGTAATTAATAGAATGAAAAAGCCTTACCATCGAAACGAGCAGAGTCAAACTCCTTCGCTTTAAAATCTCGAAAAAAGGCCTTTTGGAGAAGTTACCGTTTATCCCAATAAATAGTTAAATATATCATGAAAAAATCGCAATCCTATTCCGAGATATAAGAGATTACAGCATTCAATTCATTCAACAATGTTAGAATCTAATAACCTAGGGCTCGTAGAATCAACAAGAAATCATTAGTGTTAGACCAAAGTCATATTTCATCACAAAATCTAATGCAATAATTCCTTATATCCAGTCCTTAATTTATTTCCTCTTAATCAAATAATTTTTATTTTACTGTCTCCAAAAACACATGGGTGGTAGTGATTAATCTGTGATGATATCAATATTTCATCGTACATAACAGCAAAATCTACCAAAATTCCGTCAAGAGATAACCAAGCTTTAATTCGTGCAATCAACTATTTCAATTACAACGAATCAGCAGAAAATATACCCCAAAAAAAATTGGATTAAATAAACAGAGAGTATGAAAATTGAGTGCTAGAAGAGTAAACCTTGCGGCCGGAGGAATTGTTGGGCGAATGAGGAGGGGATTTGACGGGATCTTCGACGTCGTCGTTTTGACGAGGGGAATTCGGTAATGCCGCCGCCGCCTCCTTCTTCCCCCGACTACTACTGCTCTCCGCCGCCATTAATTCCACTCTCATCTGCCGACAAATGCTCTGGGTTGAAGGAATTCGAATCGGCGAGACCGATTTTGGGGAGAATTATTGGGGCAGAGTGATTTTCGTAAATTTTGTCAAATCTTCGTCGCAGTGAGCAAACTTTGTTTAATTTCCAGAGAAGCCCCAAAACTATCCCTATTTGCGTATTTCTCCCTACATTTGTTGACAAGTGGTAGGATTGCTCCTTTGGCTAATTGGCTTTTATGATTTTGCCCCTCATCTTTTGCATTTAATTTTTCAAGCTTACAATTTTTATTTTACCTTTTCAAATACTATTTTTTTTTAGTAATGAAGGAACTCACAGTCAACCATAGATATGCATTGAGTAAATTTACACTCTCGTATAATAGTTTGTAGATTATACGAGAGACATAAACCACACTAGTCTAACTATGTGTGACAAGCTCGACACAGCGACCGTTGGCAAGGGAATTCGAACATTCGTCAATTGACACATGTTTACTTGCTCCAACTGCTAGATTATCACTTGTCGGACACCTTTTGTAATACGTATTTTTACTCGGATGTGTGATGTGAAAAAAATAGGCTCAATGTGCAAAAATAAAGTAAACTATTACTTCGATTACATTCTCAGGTCTCGTTCGCATGTCACTATTAGATCTAATCGACTAAAAAATATAAGAATTTGTGACATGTTTGAATGTGCAAAGTAGTTCATGTTTGCCTAGATGGAGCTTGTGATACATGGTTAGCTCAGTGTGATTTACGTATCTTGGCTGCATTTTCCTTCATTAAAAAAAATAGTTCATCTCACTAAATAAGTAATTAATTAGTATGAAGTTAAAATAAATTTAATATAATTTAAATTAGAAAGCAAAGATAAAATATAAGGAGTATTTGTTAGATTATATCTTTTGAAGTGACTCAAAATATAAAAGCCTGATACAAAAGGTAGTCCACTAACGGCCCAACACATAAGGTATTGGCCCAAATTCAAAATAGCCAGCAAATTATATGTTTAATTAATGCTAGATTAGTCACTCTCTTAACATTTGATTAAGACTAAATATGATTAATTTGAACGTGCAAACCATTGCTTTCTCCTTAATTATGTACCTATATAATCAAGTTTTCTTACAAAAATAAAAAAGAAAAAGAAAAAACTTTTTCTCTCATTTTTCAAACTCTACTCAAGAACACCAAAATGCCAGAATTAATGTGATCCCACAGTAGTGGAATATATGCACTGATGTTGACAATAGAAAATTTAAAAAAAAATGAAAAAATTAAATTAAATTAAATTAAAGCGCATGACAAAATAATTAATTACCGTACGCACGAGGATTAACATTAATTTTATCAAGTACGAAAGTAGGGGTTGTCTAGGGTCCGAGAGGGTCTGTACTACTCGGACCCAAACGATTGAATATCAACCAATAAAAATGTGACACGTATGATTTGTACGAACCCCATAAAAAAAAGTACGATACCTACCTTATACGTGAAATTACATAAATATCCATATAACTAAAACTTAAGTAATAATTAATAATTAAGATGTAATTACAACAGTAAAGACGTAACATAATTTAATTCTTCTTCTTCCTTAATTCTTCTATGTTTTTTGAACCCTAATTATCGACAGAGAGAACCCGTTTTTCTTTTTCATCTTCTGACGATCCCGCCATAGTCGTCAAGCACTGCGCTCAGATTTCTCCTCTCCAGCCGATTGTAAGTTATTTAATTTTAGTTCCAACAGATTTAAATTATTCTTCTTTTAATTTCTCCTGCAACCAAAAAAAAAAAGAGAAGCCCTAGCTGTTCTTTATTTTTTTTATTAGTAATGTGTACTGAAATATTACAAATTCATTTAATTCTGTTCTTTTTTGTCCGAATGGTGCAACATAAAAACTAAATCTTGATTGTAAGATGTGTGGCCATGGAGATGTATTTTGATGTGATACACTCATTTGTTTTCACCTCAGTTTTTTTATATGCAGTCCTTTTCAAGGTGTCTGCTGCTTCATTGCATAATAAAAGAACCTCCCCTGCATCTTGTTGCCATTATTATTTCATTTCTTTTAATTTTTTAATCCAGCCGAAAAAACTAAAATTAGAATTAAAATTAAAATTCATTGCACTATCTATACCAGTAAACATTATGGGGTCACTTGATTTTTCAATTGTTTTGATGAATGTTCGTCGTTTTGTTGCGTTCTTTATTTCTTTATTTGTCGGGTCCATATCGGTTAATTGCCCCATGCTTGTTGCTTTATAGGACCATAATATGTGGTTGCATATTGTTTTATACAGCTAATATCTTCTGCATTATATACATTATATTTGTTTTCATTCCCTCTCTGCAACTATTTCGATTCCTCAAAATTCATTTTTTGTTTCTCGATCCCTCTTTGGTGGTTGTTCTTTGTTTTCGAGGCTACACACCTTCGGTAAATTGTTTGACTGATTTTGATCTTCAATGTTTGACTCAATTTCTCGTCTGTATATTTTTCTTAATTAAATTCAATTTATATATCCATGTCTTGTATTATAAATTCTTTTCTAAGCTCAAATAAATATCAACAATGTGATTTTGAGGTTGTTTTTGAAATAAAATAGGCACAATGGATTTCAATATTGGAATTGAGGAAGCAATCCCACATTCATCCGATGATGAAAATTATGGTTTGGATGGGGGAGGCAATTCAGTTGGTTTTGATATGAAAAGTATTAATGAAGATGTGGTCCGGCAACTCATATTCGAGAGTATTGATGATGCTGAAATTTTTTACTCATCATACGCCAACTTAGCTGGTTTGGAATTTGAAAACAGAGTGTGAAACGTAACTCCGCCGACCTTGTAAAGTATAGAGAGTGGGGTTGTACACGTGAGGGGTTTCGCAGAGGGCCAAATGATGATAATAATAGAAAACGAGAGGCCAAAGCTCTTACTAGATGTGGTTGCAAAGCTGGCTTACGTGTAGCACATGATCGTTTTTCAGGACATTATATTGTGACGGATTTTGAATCTCAACATAATCATGATTTGCAAGGTTTCAAGAAGAGGTACATAATTTAATTGATTTCTTTAGTTATCAATTTTTTGTCTCAAATTCATGCAATTATGAACTCAAATTTATTTTGTAATTTTGTGTACAGATATATTTCAATGCTCGATACATCCATGTTGAGTTTGATGACAAATTTCGGATTTAGGCCATGTCTGGTTATGGATTTGTTGAGCCGGAGGTGCTGGTAAAATATCTTTTACAAAGAAAGATGGTTATAATTGGTTGAACAAAATACGACAAGAAAGAATACAAGGAGGCGATATCAACACATTACTGGCCTCATTTGAGAGTATGAAAGTAAAAGACGACGATTTTTTCTACAAATACGAGGTGGATGTACAAATACGAGGTGGATGAAGAAGGTGCGCTTTCAAGGATTTTTTGGTGCGATGGAGCTTGAAGAGCTGAATATGGACTTTTTGGGAATGTTTTAATTTTTGACAGCACGTACAAGACAAATAAAGATTTTGTGGTTAAATTTACTGGCGGTTTTGGCATTTATCCTTGATTATGATTTAATTTACTAAATTTTGTATGTATCTATTTTGTGGTAAAAAAAATCCGCACAAAATAATTTGGCTGAAAATTAATCTAATTAAGGATTATGTAGTTGAAACAGGGGTGAAATATTAAATTACGGGTGGTGGCCATCCGGTTATCTCGGCCGCGCCGCCCTTTCAAGGCCACTTGTTTCAAGCCCCATCACCACCAACTTCTGAAAGTTTTAGTAAATTGCAACTTACCCCAAATTAATGTTTTTGAAATTACAGTTAATCTCCTACTTTTTATTATTGTTGAATTGGTCGAGGGCCCAGTTGGAATAAAGCTAAAATCTGATTTGAGGTTTCTCAAAGTTTCGAATTTTAAAATTTAGTCCCAACTTTCAAAGTTTATTTTTGACTAAATATACAATTTCAGAAATTACACATTTACCAACTAATCAAGATTTTCTACGTTCTAAAATTATTTTGACTAAAAAAATTTAATTACACTCCAGCCTTTCAAGTATTAAAGTTTATAGATTTGGGCAAGGGGCAATTTTTTTTTTCCCTATCATTGAACCTGCTTCTAACAAATTTTTAGCTCACCTATTTAATGTTCTTGATGACATTGCTATCAGAAACAGAAAAAAATCTATCACTACAAAAATAAAAAGATAAAAATATAACTCTCCAGGCCGTAAGAACTCATTAAGACCCACAATCCATCACTATAAAAATCATTTAAATCAATAAAATCAAAACATACAATATCCCCAAAGTCCGTCGGATTCAAATTTATCCTGAACCAAAACCCAAATTCAATAATAAAAAAAAAAAAAAAAAACTTCAGTCTCTAAAATCACCTGCAATTAATCATAAACGAAAGAGAAAGAAAAATACGGAGGACCACAAAATATGCTAAAAGCTAACAAGAGTAACTGCTCCCAAGACAAACGAGCTCCAAGATTAACTACGCATGAAGATGAAAAGCTAAAACTCCATAACACCTATCAAAGCACAAAAAAACAATGAATTAGCCCCACCAATATACCTCGAAAGAACAACTACACTGCAATACAAAACGCAATACATAGATAACAAATGCATTAAAATCATACTTACCATTATCGATAATCTATATCAAGCATAAAAGTTCCTATCTCGGCGAAGCGAACATATTGTAATTGCTTCTGTATAGATTAATGGCAATTTGTTGTCGGAAGACATCAGATTGCTCCTAATAGGCAATAGATTCATCAGGCCACAATTAAAATGAGTATATATGTAGAAATTAAATTAAGAAGTTATCTAATTAAAAAAAAATTACTTCTGACAGCTCAAATGCCCCCATCTCAAACATCATCATCATGCAAATATATACTCCACAATCGAACCTGTCACATTATGCATACTGATTAATGGTGATGAATAAATTACAGAATATCTTAATACATTTATAAATATGAATAGAAATACCCATTTGGTTGTAAAGGAACCCAATCTGAATCCATATAATAGAACTTATTCGTATATTCCATTAATACTATATACAACAAAAATGGATCAAATTGTAGTTCAAACTAATGTTTCAAAGGAACTCCAATTCATTAGTCATAAGAATATCATACCCCCACAAATCGAGCTCTAGATCC